CCTGCCCATAAACTGGAGTTTTTGGCATTAAAATGGGCAGCTGCAGATAAATTTAGAGACTATCTTCTAGGACACCAATTCACAGTGCTAACTGACAACAATCCACTGACCTATGTCACTACTTCCGCTAGGTTGGATGCAACTAGTCAAAGGTGGATGGCAAAGCTGGCAGAGTTTAACTTTGACATAAAGTACCGGCCTGGGAGAAGCAATGCCAACGCTGATGGTCTGTCTCGACTACCCTGGGAGGAGGTGGCTACTGTTCTGAATGCCGGATGCAATGTGTCTTCCATAGCAACCCAGGGTGATGGCCAAGGGAGAGCAACAGGTGGAGCTGAGCCATTCCACTGGCCAGGCATAGAGTTAATCCCAGGCCTGCCTAAGGAAGAACTGAGGAGGTTGCAGGAAAAGGATGCAGTAATCTCTTGAGTAAGATCCTACCTGCCCAGACAGCGGACACCCCGGGAGAAGCGGAAGGAAGTAACACCAGTGAAGATATTACTGAACCAATGGAAACGATTGCAGCTGGTAGAAGGGATCCTTTACAGGAGAACAACAATCCCAGGAGAGGGACAGATCCAACAAGTTGTGCTACCAGAGAAACTCCAGAGAGAAGTGTTTGAAGCTCTGCACACAGACATGGGACACATGGGCATTGACCGTACAGTGGACCTCATCCGCACTCGCTGTTATTGGCCAGGCATGCAGTCCACCATCCAGAAGTGGTGCCTTTCCTGCAAAAGGTGCTGCCTAAGGAAGAGAGGCATCTCTGGAAACAGAGTTCCACTTATCTCCATCCATACCAGTAGGCCCCTGGAGCTAGTATGTATTGACTTTCTCACCCTAGAACCATCCCGAGGGGGCATCGAGAATATCCTTGTGGTTACTGACCACTTTAGTCGCTATGCTCAGGAATACCCTACTCGTGACCAACGGGCATCTACTGTGGCCAAGGTGATGTGGAAACACTTCATCTGCAACTATGGCATCCCTGAAAGGATACATACAGACCAGGGGAGGAATTTTGAAAGTAATCTCCTTGTCCAGCTTTGGAAACTGTTGGGGATCTCAAAAAGCAGAACCACGCCCTATCACCCCCAGGGGAACGGGACTACTGAGCGGATCAACCGGACACTCATGAATATGCTGGGAACCCTGTGTCCAGAGCAAAAAGCAAATTGGAAGGACTATGT